TTTTATTTCTTCATTTGAGAAGTCCCTCTTTAGTTCCCTTGCCCATTTAGTAATTGGTTTGTTAGGTTTGGGAGGGATTAGTTTCTTGAGTTCCCTGTAGACTGCATTTTAATTATCCCTTAATTGACAGACATTTTGGATTGCTTATTTCTACTTCTTGATAATCATTCATAGTGCTCTTGAATATTCTTGTACAAGTTTTATATTGACATATGTTTTCATTTATCTTGAGTAGATATGTAGGAGTAGAATTTCTGAGTCAATGTTGTCTATTTAACATTTTGAGAAGTACCAAATTGTCTTCCAGATCGGCTATAGTTTTTTGCTTTTTTGTTTTTCATTTCTACCAGCAAGGCAAAAAAATTCCACTTTCTCTTTATCCTCTCCAACGTATGTTATTGGCTGTTTTTTTTGATATTAGCAATTTTAGTGGCTATGACATAGAATCATATAGTGGGTTTGTTTGTTTTTGCTGGTCATGGGATCTGAACTCTGGGCCTAGGCGCTATCCCTCAGCTCTTCAGCTCAAGGCTGGCACTCTACCACTTGAGCCAGAGCCACAGTGCCACTTCCAGCTTTTTCTGCTTATGTGGGCTGAGGAATCGAACCCAGGGCCTCATTCATAAAAGACAATCACTCTACCACTGAGTCTCCTCCCCAGCCCCATATTGTGGCTTTTTTTGGCTTGTTGTTGTTTTGTTTTGTTTTGCTGTTCCTGGAGCTTGAACTCAGGGCCTGGGTGCTGTCCTGAGCCTCTTTGTGGCTCAAGGCTAGCATTCTCTCACGTGAGCAACAGCACCACTTCTGGCTTTTATTGAGTAGGGTTTTTTTTTTTTTTTAATTGGAGATAAGAGTCTCACAGAAGCAGGCTCACCCTTGTAATCCTAGCTACTCAGGAGGCTGAGACATGAGGATCATGGTTCAAAGCCAACCCAGGCAGGAAAGTCCATGGGACTCTTATCTCTAATTAACTACCAGAAAAACAGAAGTGGTGGGCTGGGAAGATGGCTCAGTGGTAGAGTGCTTGTCTTGCATTCATGAGGCCCTGGGTTCGATTCCTCAGCGCCATATAAACAGAAAAGGCCAGAAGTGGCACTATTGCTCAAGTGGCAGAGCACTAGCCTTGAGCTGAAAACTCAGGGACAGCGCCCAGGCCTAGAATTCAAGCCCCATGACGGACAAAAGAAAAGAGGGGGCGGGTTGGGAAGGTGACTCAGTGGTAGAGTGCTTTCCCTTGCATGCATGAGGCCCTGGGTTTGATTCCTCAGCACCACATAAACAGAAAAAGCCAGAAGTGGCGCTGTGGCTCAAGTGGTAGAGTGCGAGCTTTGAGCTGAAGAACACAGGGACAGCGCCCAGGCCCAGAGTTCAAGCCCCATGATCAGCAAAACAACAACAACTAAATTTCACAGAGATAAGAGTCTCAAGGATTTTATTTGCCCAAGCTGATGTAATTTTAGTTCACTTTGTCCAACTCACTAATAATGTTTCACATTTTTTTTTTTTTTGTCAGCCGTGGGGCTTGAACTCTGGGCCTGGGCGCTGTCCCTCAGTTCTTCAGCTCAAGGCAAGCGCTCTACCACTTGAGCTACAGCGCCACTTCCGGTTTTCTGGTGGTTTATTGGAGATAGGAATCTCATGGTCTCTCCTGCCCGGGGTGGCTTTGAACCGCAATCCTCAGATCTCAGCCTCCTGAGTAGCTAGGATTACAGGCGTGAGCCACCAGCGCCCAGCTGTTTCACATCTTTTTATGTGTTTGTGGGCTGTACTCTAATCTTAGGCTTTTTTTTTTTTTTTTTCTGATCCTGGGGTTTGAATCCAGGACCTGGCACTGTCCTTTAGCTTTTGTGCTCAAGACTAGTGCTC